GACAACATACTGTAGGCCATTATCTGCCCTTATATACTTGTATGTAGTTTCCAGTGAAATTAGTGAAATTTGTCATGATGTATCTAATATAATGATATAGTTATTCAGCTTGTGCCATAGATAATTTTAATTTTGCCTGGATTTTTGTTTTCTGGGTTAGTTTTCTGCATTTAGTTCTGTAACACAACTAATCCCCAAATCCAATCAAGAAACCAATCAGATGCAAAGTAAATACACATTTCAAAGATACATAAACTTTAAAATAAACAAGTTACAGGGATATTAGGAGGGAAAAAAAAAACCCAAAAAACAAACAAACAAAAACCCACCCCAAACAACTATTCCAAACATGTAACACCTTTGAGTTCTACTTTTCATCATATCTTTAAAGTCATGTTAATTTTGGGACTTCAGATATTTCTTAGTTCATGATATGTCTGCAATTTAATGATTGCATTCATAATACCTGATACTGATACAGGATGAAACAAGGTTGCAAGGGTAGTGTATGTTATTAAGAAATGTATGTCATCGTGCTTCTTAATTGTAACTTTAATTCCACATTTCCTAGTGAGAGAGCGCTTTCTTGTGATATAAATGTAAGATCCTGGCTATATTTTCAGTATTTTTGCTTTTAACCTATGTAGTAAGCCTTTTTATGTGCCTTTGCTTGTAGCTATTTTGGGATATAAGTAACTTGTATTTGATATTAACTAAAATCATTACTTTATCTGATAATATTTTCAATCTTGTAACACTTCCTCTTGCCAATCAGATATAGATAGTTTTCTTGCAACCATTCAGTTTTGTTCAGAGACCCAGATGGGAGGACTGAAAAATATATGGGAAAAATGCCATTAATTTTATTTCCCCCCTCTAGGAGACTTTGGGAATTATTTTTTCTTACTACTGCTTATGAAAAATCCATTAGAAATTAGTATTATAATTCTGGTGTGGGGCAGTTCCTAAGAACTATATTTAAAGTTCTTAGAAAATTCTACTTGCTTTCTTTAAAACCGAGGTTGACAGATATACACATCTATATACTTTGATTATAAGGCCAGATCAGACTTACGAAGTAAAAATTGAAAACAAAATGGTTGCATCTGGCAACTTAGAAGATGGTTTAGATTTTTTGCCATCGAGGAAAATTAATGATCCAACAGTGAGGAAACCCGCTGACTGGGATGATCAAATCCAAATTGATGATCCAAATAACATCAAACCTGAGGTAATTTGCTCTCCTTATTCTGCATTACTGGATTATCTCATTTCTACTGAATACACATTTGATATAGTTGAACTCCGCACTAGTTTTGCTTTCTTAATCTTCCTGTGTCTCTTTAAAGGGTTGGGATGAACCTGAATACATCATGGACATGCTGAGAAACCTGAAGATTGGGATGATGCTGCGAATGGAGAATGGCATTATCCTATGGTCAAGAATCCTCTATACAGAGTATAAATAATTTCGTAATCCTAGCTATGGATAATACTTTAAGCAACTTTTCTTTGTTTGACTGTATTGAGAACATGTGGTTTATCCTAGGGGGAATGGAAACCAAGGCAGATTGATAACCCAAATTATAGAGGAGTTTGGCCTCATCCGCAGATTGGCAATCCACATTACTCGCCAGACCTCAGTATCTACAGCTATGAAAATATTAGCATCATTGGACTAGAGATCTGGCAGGTGAGATGCCTTTACTGGAAAACAACTTTTCTCTCACTGAGTATATAGCAACCTGTTTACCCTTTGCATATAAACATTATCTGTTCTTTTGGGATCTTAGGGTCTTTAACTTGCTCTTATTTAAATATGTGTACAAAATTGAAAAATCTGTAAGACGCACGGATCTTCTGTTGTAGTTATTGTTTGGATGATAGTTATCTACAGGTAAGTGAGGGGCCTAAACTAGTTTGTCTAAGTGTTGTAAAGTATGACTTACACACCTCAAGTCAGGTGAAGTAACTGAGGCTTCAAGCAGCTCAGTTGCTCCCGACTTACCCAAAGATTAATGAGGAGAAAACTGCCCTCTGGGCTGCCTCTGAGATCTTCCTCTATCTCAGGTTTCTTGGCTAGCCAGTGATAAGACTTAAAACTTCTTAGAAGAGCAGTGAAGTGCCTAAAGTTAAAACAAGTTCTTTAGATTCTTGAAAACAGTTGTCCAAAATGAGAGAATTCTTCATCAAATTCTGCAAAAATCTATGGGGTTCTTAACATGATTACTCTATATTGAATATATGATACAAACATATTGTTAAAAAAAAAGATTAAAACTCTTAAGAAAACAAGGAGGCATCCTTGGTTTTTTCCTATTCCTTCAAAGGTGAGAGCTGGCACAATTTTTGACAACTTCTTGATAACAGATGATGAGGTTTATGCAGAAGACTTTGGAGATGAAACATGGGGAGAAACGAAGGTAACATGAAATTCTTGTGTCTGTTTTGGTTCTCTATTACCACATTTTAAAAATCGCCTGTCTAATCTGATCAAGAACCTATTGGTGCATAAAAATGAAATCTTAATGTTAGGGTCCTGAAAAGGAAATGAACATAAAGCAGACTGAGGAAGAGCAGGAGAGAGAAAGGGTTACAGAAGAAAAATACTTTGAGCAACGGTTTAAGAAAAAGCTAGAAAGAAAAAAAGAATCTGGAAAGGACAGAGAAGTGAGGGACACTATTGAGAAGGAAGAGCTTTAATTGTTATTTGAAAGAAGTTCACTTTTTTTTACTTAAATCTGTCTATAGAGATTTTGATAGTTTGTTAACAGCTTGTTGGAATCGGCAGCGATACAGTTGTATTAAAACAGGATTTTTTAAAAAATCAACATTAAATTTTGTGACCAGTTTCAGTTATTTTTAATAAAAATACCACAACATAGTTAAATTCTCTATAGAAAGGTTATTTTTTTTATTAACTGTATCTTAACACTGCTAAAATGTTTTAAAAACACCTGTAATAAAGCACTAGGTTTTGGAACTGTTTTACACTTTCATTAAATGTAAAATTCATGCTCATTTTTGTTGAGGAAATATCGTAATAAGCTTTTAATGATATTTCATTAAGGGGTTCAGCATGTCAAATGTGTGAAGCATGTTTCACAACATACTTTAAACTAAGGAGGAGATAAGCTTTGCTAAGCTTCTGTAGTAATTGTGCACCTGCCAGAGTTTCACGGATTACTGCAGCTGTATAGCTGCACCGTGGCTGCTCTTGGCTGTTCTGCCATGGCTTATCTGCTGGTGGAACCTTCTAGTGCTCTGTCTCAGTGTGGGAACTGCGTGACAGTAGTCTGTCCATCCACAAATCTGTCCTTAGAAGTTTAAATGTATTCAGACAATTTTCTCCTTTCCAAAAATCTGAAATGAATATATAGAGTGTCTGGAAGCTGTCTTAAAATTTTATAATTTTTTTTCCTAATAGGGTGGTGGGGGCATTTGAAACAGTGAACGATGTGCCTGTTTTTCTGTCTGACCTGTCTTGTAACTCACTCTTGTAACTTTTTCAGTCACTTCCTTCATCCCTTCTCAGGTCCTTCTGCTCTTCTTCATATCCTTCCCCCCCCAAGAACTAATGCTATAAATTTAGCAAAAACTGAAGCCAGACTTCCAGAGCCAATGGTTTTGCATTTACCTCTAGGCTACCCCGACACTGGCTGAGAAGAGTTTTGTGTGGTAAGGAGATAGGGAGTGGGAGGATCTGTGGAAGCCCCGACTTCAGCCAGGCCAGTTTCTAGCCTGTGGGGTGACTGAGGTCAAATTCTTTTGCTTCTGCTTGGTCAGAGTGCTGTCTCCTGTAAAACAATTCCAATGATGCTGTGGGGTGAAGAACTTTGAAAGCTATTGAAATACACTGTAAAGACAGTCGCCCTTTACCTTTTTTCCTAAACAAATTCCTGTTGATTTAGCTTTTGTATGTCCACAATGATCTAGCTTCACTCAGGCTGCTGTTCAGTATTTATACGTTGCAGCCAAGGATTTGTTAACTTTGTTGTATTTGATGCTGAATATTTGATCATAGACCAGAGGAAGCTTGATTTGGTGAGGTCTGTTTTGACAAGGTTTAGTGTAATGAAGTAAAATAACTAGGTTTGTCCAGGAGAAAGCTGGATGGAGGTCGTCCAGCTAAAAGGTCGATCAGTGCCTTGACTCAGTTACCTGGAAGAATATTCCACAGGGCAGCTGCAGTCTTCCCTAGACCTACTTTGTCCATAACGTAGGTAGGTCACCGCCAGCTTCGCCTCAGGCAGAGCCATGCCTGGGAGCAGGGAGACTGCGGGAAGCAGGGGCTGAGCTGCGGCGGGCGGGAGCAGCCCCAGCTCATCGGCGTGCGGAACGG